GGGGACAGGGATTGGAGGGATTGGATAGGGACAGTTAGGGGCGGGGATCCGGGGGGGCGATAGTCAGGGGACAAGGAGCGCGGGGGGGAGGGTTGGATGGGTCGGGAGTTCTAAGGGGGGCAGTTGGGGTGGGAAGTGGGAGGGAGCAGATAGGGGGCAGGCTGTTTGGGGAGGCACAGCCTTCCCTACCCGGCCCTCCATACTGTTTTGCAATCCCGATGTGGCCCTCGGGCCAAAAAGTTTGCCCACCCCTGTGTTATAGACTGGCTGGTGCATTTGTCTTTTTATCAGCTCATATGTTTTGGGCATGTACTAATACTAGGATAATCTTTTTCTGAAGCTGGATCACTGGGGGTATCTTACCTATCCACTGGATAATGTTTATCAGCTGCAGTGATTGTTGACAGTTTATTGGCTTCAGAATTGGTAGTAGTGTTGATAAACAAAACAATATGAATGGGGATTCACTATGAGGGTGAAACTTGCAATTGGAACTTCATAGAAAACTAATGGAAAAATCATGATACAAATGTCAAGTGAAGGAAAAGTTGCACACCTGGATTTCAGTGCTCAAATGCTAAAAAAAGAAGTGCCAGAACACATTATTTTGACAAGCCACAACATCATGTGCTTTAGCGGTCATTTTCCAATATTTTTAGCATGAATAATTACTGGTTTACTTTACAACTATCTGAAGTACTGGAACATCATTCCAGCTCCCCAAAAAAGTGTCAGAATGGCATTCTGGAGCGTTCTGTCCTGACTCAAGCAATGCTTGATTTTTGCCTCTTTAAAATATGAGGGTGTTTTCTTTTGAAATGAACATTTTGAGCCTATCCATTGCATCTTCTGACTTAGGCCTTGTCTACCCTGCCACTTTACAGCGCTGCAACTTTCTCACTCAGGGGTGTAAAAAACATCCCCCGAGCACTGCAAGTTTCAGCACTGTAACATGGCAGCATAGACAGTGCTACAGTGCTGGGAGCTACTCCCCTCATGGAGATTGTTTTTTTTTTTTTTATAGCGCTGAGAGAGCTTTCTCCCAGCGCTGGTGCCGCGACTACACAGCCAGTGCTTTAACGTTGCTAGTGAAGACATGCCCTTAGAATCATCCTTTTCAGCCTGATTCCCTCATTTGTTTAAATTCAGTTTGTTCTCACTTCATATCTCATGTTTCCTACCACCTGGTCTTTCTGCTACAAATATGAAATTGCAACTAGTCTGGCATTCTATGACAGCACACGCTTATCTTTCCTTCTACTCTTACATTAATTCATCTATAAAGATGCAGTTATTTGTCAAGTATCAGAGGGGTAGCCGTGTTAGTCTGGATCTGTGAAAAGCGACAAAGAGTCCTGTGGCACCTTATAGACTACCAGACGTATTGGAGCATAAGCTTTTGTGGGTGAATACCCACTTCGTATTCACCCACAAAAGCTTATGCTCCAATACCTCTGGTAGTCTATAAGGTGCCACAGGACTCTTTGTCAGTTATTTGTCTGTTAATTATATATATTTTTCATGGGTATCTTTAGAAATATTGAACAGAGGTATATATGTGCACCTTAAAGAGCAGATGCTCTGAAAAATTAAGAACTGGCTCATGTGTTTTCTGAATAAGGGCAGTGAGATAGATGTCCTTGCCATGAGTGAAATTGCTAAAGAATGTAGAATGCATATACATTTATTTTGGTATCTTTTACACAGAGGAAGAATGTTAGATTCCTTGTGCCCATCAGTTGCATGTTACTCATGACTTTGTCTTTTCTCTTCATGGGCAGGTTCCCGTCAGGATCACCCTCCTCATGATGGACAGTCTCCTGCCAGCCGAGAGCGTTCTTCCTCACTTCAGGGTATGGACATGGCCTCACTGCCACCACGCAAACGTCCCTGGCACGATGGACCAGGGACATCTGATCACAGAGAAATGGAAGCTCCAGGTGCACCTCCAGAGGAGAGAGGCAAAGGTAAGGGGAACTAACCGGTACTGAGAACTTCACATAGGTTTATACTGTTTTCGCAGAGTGCACTTCTGCAGAATTCCTCATGCAGGCCAAGGTGCTAAAGCAGACTTAAGGTTTAGTTTGATAAAGAACATTTGAGTAATGCCTTTTCAAGTGCAGGCCCTGCTGCCATCAGTCTTGTGGTGGGAAGGTCATTTGAAGATGAATTTATCTAACACTGATTGTAAACTCTTTGAGACAGGAATCATGTTTTCTTGTTTTGTACAGAACCACGCATGCTGTGCCTCTCAAAAGTTTTGTTAAAGTGGAACAAAAAATATTTAGTTATGCCTTAGCTAAGAGGATAGGTGGGCAAAGCATTTTTTCCTCAAATTACTACCCCTGCTGTTTTGGGCAAGAGTCCTGTTTTTCTCTTGCATTTGGTGTCATCTAAAGTGAGCTGTGCAGAACAGACAGTCCTCTTTCCTGGGAACAAGAGAAGATGCAGGTCATACTTATGCCCCACAGTAGAATATAGCATCTTTCAACTGCACCCTGTCAGAACTGGCTAAAGGAGGATAAACCTCCTTCAGGGACACTACTCTAATTCCTTCATTACTACCCCAAATGGTTGAACAGATGCTGTTACTGGGTTTAGGCAACACCCTATTTAGAATGAGAAGTATGCAAAACAGGGCCAAAATAGGACTGCTGCCAAGTGAGAGAATCTGGATTTGAATATTTTATTCAGGGTCTCTCAAGTGCTTATGAGCCTGTGCATTCCATTTCCCGGTGTTCTCTTATTTAACAAGGTCCTTGCTGATCAATGAGGTGCGGCAGTACCTTAGCTCCAGAGGAATTGCCTTGTAGCTGTCCCTCTCAAGGACTGTCATATTGATATAAATCTGTATGTGGTAGGAAAAATTGTGTTGAGGGAAGAAATGTAAAATTGGAGACCAGTATGTCAGATTTCACATTCTGTATAATCTGTGAGGGATTGTATCATAGGGGAATTGAACCCAAACATTTGTCTAAGCCTGGGGTAACCCTCAAAAGCCTGAGAGGGATGGGGTAAACTATAAAATCAAAAACTAAATGTTCTCATCTTTTAGGACGAGGAAGCTCAGGACCTTCACAGAGAGTGCCAAAGTCTGGGAGGTCTAGCTCTTTGGAAGGAGACCATCATGATGGATTCCACAGAGATGAAGGTTTTGGAGGCCCTGCAGGAGGCAATAACCCTTCCAGAGGAGGGAGGAGTGGAAGTAATTGGGGAAGAGGCAGTAACATGAACTCTGGCCAGTCAAGGCGAGGAGCATCCAGGGGTGGTGGAAGGGGCCGATAGAAGAGGCTATGATTGGATGATACCCACTCCTTATTGGACAGTGTTTAAATAGACACCTATTGTGGACTCGAGAAAGTACTTCTGCAACTCCACAAATCTGGACTCTTAACTGGGATAACTGAATGTGCATTAGTTCCTAACAAGGATCTTCTCCTAAGATCAAGTGACTGCTGCTAGCAGCAACATGGTAGCTGGCTTTCTATTTCATCCTCTCCACCTCTTTCTCCTCAACTTTTACCTGCATTGTTTTGTAAAGATAAAAGCTGGAATTTTTTTTAGTGTTGTGAGACATGGAGCACCTCCACAGATTTCAGTTCATGTCCAGATGGAAACTTGTTTCTATATGTACAGTTTGTCAGAAAAAAGTTGTTTTTGTATGAATACAGAATGTAATTTGCGCAAAAATTAACAAAAAATCAGTGCAGTATGTGATTCTTTATTTTTACACTCTCCATGAAACTACAAAACACCCCATCTTCCATAGAATTTCCATATGTCACGTACATGGCACCATAGGACTAGCTCTAGAAGTTTCTACAGTACAGTTCCTAATGCCTTAATACAATCAGTTGGGGTTTCATGTTTTGAGAATTTTTATTTTTACACCTTTAGCAACATTCTTGTGCTATTAAAAATGTTATCTGTTGTGAAGAAGTTGAGTCCAGTACATACATACACAACAAAAACCAAAACCACACCAATGCTCCCTCCCCTACCTTTCGTAAAAGGACATATGGGGAATGCTGTGAAAAGCTTCTTTTGAACTATAGATCATATGAGCAAGCATCCTAATCCAGTTTGCACATTCAGTGTTCATCTGCTCCTGCTAATCCTCATTGATTCAAGCCTTGCAAAGGGATCTGTCCTTTGTTCTCCATGGTGTTAGTTTTACACCATAAGTGATAGACATTCGGCATCTTGATTAACAGGGATGTATATAATTTTTTACAGTACTGTAGTACACCCCACACTGCAGAGAAATGAGGAATGGCCACTAAATTACAAGCTGGTGCATTCTGAACCATTAAGCCACCCTGATTTTAAAGATTTTTAAGTATTCTCCACAGGATTTTGTTTAGTGCCATTGCAACATTACAATTATTTGCATTTCATAATAAAGTTGTTTACCAATTATGGTGTTTCAGTTATCACCATAACATATGAGATTATCTGGCTTCATCCACCAGCATGTCTGTCTAAAGTATTTCTAAGATAGCTACCTAAGTACCCTAAACCTCATTTAAGAAATTAGTATTACCTAGAGCTAGCCTCTTCCTGAAAATCAGATTTCCCACCCTATAGCATTAGGAACCAAGATCAAATGTGGGAGGTGGCTGATTAAAATACCACTATCATCCTTTTCATATTTGCACTAGTAATTTTTTTTTCCACAACCCCCTAGGGTAAATAGTACATTAAGGAAAAGCAAGTGTAGGGCTGAGGGAGCTTGTTTAAGAAATCATAAGGAAAGAGTAAATTAATCCTCACTCTGTGAGTGTCGGCTGTGGCAGCCACTCCTTCACCCACTTATTTTGCCAAGCCATCTATCTTCCCCTGTCTACAGTCTAATTAGGTTATGGATTTGAGATATTTGTAGGAACTCTATTTAAACAGATCAAAGCATGGATAAAGGAGAATTGCTATGATCTTCACATTCCTGCTTACTCAGCAGCTGTCATTCAGATATATGCTTCTATTGTACAGAACAGTTGTGACTGAGTCACAGGGTAGTGAATAGGAACACTGCCTAATTGTTTTATTGCAGATACAGTGACACAAGAAATGCTCCAGAATGTTTGAGGTGGTCAGCTTACAAAGTTTATTATACTATGGCTGAAGAGAGAAGTAGCCCTAAGGAAATGATACGCACAGAACAGTTTAGCAGACTCTTCTGAGCCAGACTTGGCACAGGCTCGTGGCTTCTTGCTTAAAGAAAAGGTTAAATTTCTATATGGGGACTTCTGATGAAGGTTATAGCTTATCTGTGTAAATTAATTTCTGCAGCTCAAGGCAGATCCTAGTTGTATTAGGATGTAATAAAGGGGAAGATAAATATTGTAATTCAAACAGCTGGAAGAAAAGAGAACTCAGCAACCACTCTACCATTATTTAAGGGCTGAAAAACTCACTCCATACATCTGAGCCCAACAACAGGAAAACACTAGAAATGAAAGGTTTAAAAAAAAAAAAAAAATTTACAAAAACCCTGTTTTTCCTCTGCAGGTCTCCTTTAACCTAAAACCCTGTTTAATTCTTAATACTGGACTTTAGGAAAAACTACCTTCCCCAAACCACACCATTCTAAATTAAAGCTTTGAGCTCCCTTAAGACAAGCCATGTGGATATGATCACAATTGGTACACAAAAGCTCTTGTTAACTTTAGGGTAATATCTTTAAGTCCATAATGCAGAAGAGCCACACTAGCGCTGCTGCTTTCAGGGGGAGGAAGGGAAGAAAATGCCTATGAGGCAGAACCAGGACATCCTCAGCTCTTTATAGAGCCATGCACTGCTGTGACCCAATGGATCTGTGCAGATCTACTGTCCCTGTTACAAAACTGCAGATACAACCGTAGCCTGTGGAGTAGATTAGTGGTTGGAGGTTCTTGTGGCCAGCCTCCGGTAGTGGGAGGATTTTGTCATTTTCCATATGAGACCTTTTACCAGAGAGATGAAGGATTTACTAGGCTTTTACCGTAAATATTTTAACCTACATTTTAAAAAAGTTAATCTCATCCAAGAACTTTAACCTAGGTTTAGTTTAGAAGCAATCTCACACTAATCTGATATTACACCGATATAAATCCAAATTAAACTATAAAAGTAAACAGGAAGACAGATTCAGTGCTGCTGTTTTAAAAAAACAAACTAGACCTGCTACTGTCTAGATTAACACTTTAGTATAAAAATATTTTATTAAAATAGATGTACAATTTATAAAGTTAAGCATTTGTTTACTGTAGTTCTGTGCAAATATTAAATGAGTAGATTAAGATACTCTCTTCTTAAGTAGCATCTGATAAGAATACTCAAGTATGTTTTTTTGCAATATGCCCAGCCTCTACTAGCCCATCTATTTCTCAAGGTCAGGCTACAAGCATCACTGCTAAATAAGTAGTGCCTGCCCGACTCCTAGAACCAATGGACGAGGACTTCAGGAACTGACTCTGCAGCTCTGGAGGCAAAAGCTTCTGTAGCACCATTCTGGCAGTCTTACTGCAAAGAACTAAATGGTCTCTATGATATGCTTTCACTTTTTTTGTGATTCCCTACGTAAAAGAGGTATGCCCCTGCTTGTCCAAGGATATGACTTTGTGATCCATCACCTCTATGAATGCTACTTGTTAAAGAATGTTCATAGAATATCAGGGTTGGAAGGAACCTCAGGAGGTCATCTAGTCCAACCCTCTGCTCAAAGACAGATTTTTGCCCCAGATCCCTAAATAGCCCCCTCAAGGATTGAACTCACAATCCTGGGTTTAGCAGGCCAATGCTCATGTTGTTTTCAATACAGTGAAGGTCAGGGATTTTTTTTTTTTTAAAAGACAGTTAAATGGAATGGGTATGTCAACATTCACTAGACTACCCTATAAGCCAATCAAAGATGGCTGCAATTACAGCTGATCACTACATTTAGACTCTTTACAATTGTAATCTGATATAAAGATGTCATGAAACAACATCTCTCGTAATATGTATCTAGAGCTGATTTTAGGTTTTAACCAATAAAACCCCTGCTCCAAAAAGAGAAACAGTATTTATCCAATCAATACTGGATATGGTTAACTTGCGTCTAAGGGCTGATCAACACAGCAGTAATGCAGACTACGGGTGTGTGATTTCTGAAGTACATATGTTGTGTATTAATAGGTCCACACAGACCCTGCTAGGGTGTATAAAAGGTTCCTTAGTGCACTTTAAGTAGCACTATCTGAAATAGTATTACATTAAAGCACACTAAGAAAAATAAAGAGATTACTCATTACAGTATATACAAAGAAGGACCAACTTTTGGTCCAACCCCCACCTCAAATTTTTGGACATCTACCTAGAACTCAAAATTGTTAAAAATAAACATCCAAAAACAGGAGCTCTATATATACACCCAACTTTTTTTTGAAGTTTCATGGATATCTATAAACAGATTTTCCTATGAGGCACCTGGTATCAGCACATCCCAAGCTGGAGTGAATCCTGCAAGGCTCAGGAGTACAACAAAGCATTATACTATGATGGGTAGAGTTTAGTATCAACAATATGCTTGGCTCTGTATTCTTACAGGCCACTTCAAAGTAAGTATCAGCCATGTGATCCTACACTTGATATAGGAATCTGGTAATCCTGTCATCTACCACCCAGAACAGGACACAGACTCCAGGATATTACTACAAAGCTCATTTTGCACTGATCAGGCAAAGCATATACTGAGATAGGACTGGGAATGATGGCACACAAAAATGTTACACGTGAATACGGTAAAAGAACGACAATGTATAGTCATAGATGCAGCTTTAGGATTTTAGTTGCACTGTTCAAAGGTAGGGAGAAGAAAATGTTCCACAGCTCCATCAACACTGGTCCTTGGAGAAGCAAAACTCTTCCCTCCTTTGGTCGGTTTTGCTCCTGTTGTCCACATTAACTGTCAAGTTTGATTAGTTTTTCCTGAACTTTCCCAAGTAACTTCTGCCGACTTACAGCCAAGTGTCTTTGTACAGGTCCCCGTCCTCAGGAGGCGCACGAACAGAGCGCAGCTCCCAAGTGCCTCATCACAGCGCACCGGTTGTGTAGGAAGAACTTGCCTTCAATAGGACCGTGGGAAGGGGGGGAACCCGCACTGGCTTTGTCGCTCAGTCACCCCCTACCCCCGAGCAGCAGGAAACCCACGCCCCGCTGCGGCCTCCGAGCCGCATACCCCGCGGAGGCAGCCGTGCGAGCCGCACTGGAGGGCCGTGATGCTGATGGCCTGTGGCCCTGTATTCAGAAAGGCGGTTGCTCAGCCAGAGAGCCGTGTCCTCCGCGTCCGCCCGGCAGGGATGGGGGATCGGCCTCATGGGACAGCAGCAAAGATCCGTCCTGGGGATGGGGTGGGGACCGCTGTTCTCAGCCCCCATCCAGGTCTGCTCGGCGCACGCCGTCCCGCGCCCTCACACGGGCAGGGTTTTGGAGACGCGGCGGCGCACGAAGCCGCCCAGGAGGCCGACGAGGTAGCGCAGGCCGGCGGGCCCCCGGGCAGCAGGGCGAGCAGGCAGCCGGCGATGGCGGCGAGCTGGGCGGCGGCTCCGAGCGCGGTGAGCAGGGTGCTGCGCAGGCCGAGCGCGGCGTACAGGGTGCCGGCCAGGGCGCCGAGGTAGAGCACGGTGCCGCGGCTGGGCTCCCGCAGGAGGCGGCTCGGCCCCCGCAGGAAGCCGGCGGCGCCCAGCGCAAAGGCCGAGCCCAGCGACCAGAGCAGCGCGAACTTGCGGGCGCGGAGCAGCAGCAGCGGCGCGTAGAGCGCGGCTAGGCCGAAGCAGAGCGCGGCCAGTAACAGGCACAGCGCGCTCCCCACCAGCCGCTGCCAGCGCGACAGCCCCGGCAGCCAGGGGTCCGGCTCGGCCGCCCAGGGCCACGAGCCGGCCGCCGGGGACGAGGAAGAGGAGGAGCGGCCTGAGAAGGGGCTCAGCCGGCCAAGCCACGTCCTCCCTCCGGCGTCGGCTGCATCTGGCGTCGGCCGCGAGGCGCTCGGGGCTGCTGGGCTGGGGCCGCTGCCATTCTTAGACTGAGCCAGGTACTCCTGTAACTGCCGGTTCAGCTCCGCCATCTTGCAGGGGGAGGGCAGCAACAGGCAGGGAAAGACCCGGATGTGAATGCCAGCGCCAATAGGACACGTTGCTCTTCGAGGCCCTCAATGAAGCGCAACCACATCCGGGTTACTGGAAGACTCCGTAGAGCTCGACAGGCGGTGGAGGTTATGTTGTCACATGGCACCATCAATCACGTGACTTTCCCCAGTTTCAGGAAAGGGCGTAGATCTAGGGGAGAGAGGTAGTTCTCTGAGCGGAGCCCCGCGTGCGACGCCTAACCATCCTCAGCCCTGTTCCCGCGCACCTGGATCAATGTGGCTGCTCAAAGCTTTAAGCAGGTTGTAGTTACTGAGCTGGTTCAATAGCTCAGAGGTCATGGGCTGCCACTGGGTCAGTTGGGTGTTCATTAGCCACGTGAAAAAGGTAGAATTAAGGGGGATTTTAATTATGACCTGCAAAGGTTTTTATATAGAGAGAGAGAGAGAGGGAGAGAGCATTACGTTTGTGTTCTTTTAAATATATTTTTGATTTATCAAGGAGGCCTGTAAGAGTTTTTGTTTTCTTTTAATATTATTTATGCTTGTGTTCTGTTTGGTATGTATGCTCTTCAGGGATTTTGCTATAAGGTTTCTTGGGAAACTCAGGGATGTTTATTGTGAGCTCAAGAACTTAACTGAAGGGATGATGTGTTGAAACTTTAATGATGTTATCCTTTTCCTCAAATGCAACAGAGGGTCCTGTGGCACCTTTAAGACTAACAGAAGTATTGGGAGCATAAGCTTTCGTGAATCTTGCATCTGAAGAAGTGAGGTTCTTACCCACGAAAGCTTATACTCCCAAGAACCTCACTTCTTCAGGTGCAAGATTCACGAAAGCTTATGCTCCCAATACTTCTGTTAGTCTTAAAGGTGCCACAGGACCCTCTGTTGCTTTTTACATATTCAGACTAACACGGCTACCCCTCTGATACTTTTCCTCAAATGTTCATTAGGTCGTGGACTTAAAGAAGTGTTAGCAAAGAAGACAAAAAGAGTTTTAAACCATCTGAAAATCTCTTCCCTTCTCAAGTAATCCAGTTTGTCACTTGTTTCTTATGATAACTTAATTTTAGGATTGTCAATTAATTGCAGTTAACTCACATGATTAACTCAAAAATTAATTGCAATTAAAAAAATTAATCATGAGTAATTGTACTTATAACAATAGACTACCAATTGAAATTTAATAAATACTTTTGGATGTTTTTCTACATTTTCAATATTGATTTCAATTACAACACAGAATATAAAGTGCACAGTGCTCACTTTATATTTATTTCAGAATGGTAGCTGTGTTAGTCTGTATCAGTAAAAAGAACGAGGAGTACTTGTGGCACCTTAGAGACTCAACAAATTTATTTTAGCATAAGCTTTCCTGGGCTAAAACCCACTTCATCAGATGCATGCAGTGGAAAATACAGTAGAAAGGTATACACACACACACACACCATGAAAAAAGGGTGTTGCCATACCAACTATAGCGAGACTAATCAATTAAGGTGAGCTATTATCAGCAGGAGGAAAAAAAACTTTTGTAGTGATAATCAGGATGGCCCATTTCCAACAGTTGACAAGAAGGTGTGAGTAACAGTAGGGGAAAAATTAGCATGGGGAAACAAATTTTACTTTGGGTAATGACCCATCCACTCCCAGTCTTTATTCAAGCCTAATTTAATGGTGTCCAGTTTGTAAATTAATTCCAATTCTGCAGTTTCTCATCGGAGTCTGTTTTTGAAGGTTTTTTTTGTTGGAGAATTGAGAGTTTTAGGTCTGTAACTGAGTGACCAGGGAGGTTGAAGTGTTCTCCAACTGGTTTTTGAATGTTATAATTCTTTACGTCTGATTTGTGTCCATTTATTCTTTTGCGTAGAGACTGTCCGGTTTGGCCAAAGAATAAATGGTCAGCCAATCACTCAGACAAACAAGTCGGTTTATATTGACAGGAGATACTGCTGCCTGCTTCTTATTTACAATGTCACCTGAAAGTGAGGACAGGCGTTCGCATGGCACTTTTGTAGCCAGTGTTGCAAGGTATTTGCGTGACAGATATGCTAAACATTCATATACCCCTTCCATGCTTCGGCCATCATTCCAGAGGACATGCTTCCATGCTGATGATTGAAATTAATATATTTGAAAATGTAGTAAACATCCAAAAATATTTAAAATAAATGGTATTCTATTGTTGTTTAACAGCATGATTAATCGCGATTAATTTTTTTAATCGCTTGACAGATCTTCTTAATTTTCTAGTCAGCATAGAATCGTCAATGGTAGGTAAGACCTGAATTTGTAATGTGTATATTAAAAAAAAGAAAAAGCCAAAAAAGTGTTTAAAACACAACCAGACACCAGGGGGGTTAGAGGAGCACAGCAGGGCGCGGTGCGCATCAGAGAAGCTTTGAAAACGAGTTTTGTGACTGGCCAGGCTACGGTGTGAAACTTCTGTTTGTTTCTCCTTGATGAACCCTCTGCCCCCCGCACCCGGTTCACTCTACTTCCCTGTAAACCAACCACCCCACCCGCCCCTCCCCACTTCGAGCACCGCTTGCAGAGGCAGTAAAGTCATTGTTACTTCACATTCATGCATTCTTTATTAATTCATCACAGAACTAGGGGGATAATTGCCAAGGTAGCCCGGGATGGGTGGGAGAGGAGGGAAGGAAAAGGACACACTGCATTTTAAAACTTTAACTCTTATTGAAGGCCAGCCTTCTGATGCTCGGGCAATCATCTGGGGTGGAGTGACTGGGTGGCCGGAGGCCCCCCCACTGTGTTCTTGGGCGTCTGGGTGAGGACGGTATGGAACTTGGGGAGGAGAGCTGTTGGTTACACAGGGGCTGTAGCGGCGGTCTCTGCTCCTGCTGCCTTTCCTGCAGCTCAACCATATGCTGGAGCATATCAGTTTGATGCTCCAGCAGCCGGAGTATCAACTCTTGCCTTCTGTCTGCAAGCTGACGCCACCTATCATCTTCAGCCCGCCACTTGCTCTGTTCATCCCGCGATTCAGCCCGCCACCTCTCCTCTCGTTCATATTGTGCTTTTCTGTAGTCTGACATTGACTGCCTCCACGCATTCTGCTGTGCTCTATCAGCGTGGGAGGACATCTGGAGCTCCGTGAACATATCGTCCCGTGTCCTCCGTTTTCTCTTTCTAATGTTCAGTAGCCTCTGTGAAGGAGAAACATTTGCAGCTGGTGGAGGAGAAGGGAGAGGTGGTTAAAAAAGACACATTTTAGAGAACAATGGGTACACTCTTTCACGTTAAATTTTGCTGTTCACATTACACAGCACATGTGCTTTCGTTACAAGGTCGCATTTTTCCTCTTATAGTGAGGGCCTGCCGGTTTCGTGTGAGAGATCACTCACGCAGTGCCAGGCAACAGATTTCGGCTTGCAGGCAGCCATGGTAAGCCAGTCTTTTGACTTTTTTAACCTTCTTAACATGTGGGAATGGTTTCAAACAGCAGTGCCCTCATTTCCCATATCAAGCATGAATTGGGTTGGCCATTTAAAATGGGTTTGCAATGTAAAAGGAGGGGCTGCGGTTTCCGGGTTAACATGCAGCACAAACCCAACTAACCCCCCTCCCACCCACACACCCAATTCTCTGGGATGATCACTTCACCCCTTCCCCCACCGTGTGGCTAACAGCAGGGAACATTTCTGTTCAGCAGAGCAGGAATGGGCACCTCTGAATGTCCCCTTAATAAAATCGCCCCATTTCAACCAGGTGACCCTGAATGATATCACTCTCCTGAGGATAACAAAGAGCGATAAGGAATGGATGTTGTCTGCATGCCAGCAAACACCGGGACCATACGCTACAATGCTTTGTTATGCAATGATTCCAGACTACTTGCTACTGGCCTGGCGTGGTAAAGTGTCCTACCATGGCGGACGGGATAAGGCAGCCCTCCCCAGAAACCTTTTGCAAAGGCTTTGGGAGTACATGAGGGAGAGCTTTCTGGAGATGTCCCTGGAGGATTTCCGCTCCATCCCCATACACGTTAACAGACTTTTCCAGTAGCTGTACTGGCCGCGATTGCCAGGGCAAATTAATCATTAAACATGCTTGCTTTTAAACCATGTGTAATATTTACAAAGGTACACTCACCAGAGGTCCCCTGTGTGCCCTCAGGGTCTTGGGTGAGTTCGGGGGTTACTTGTTCCAAGTCCAGGGTGACAAACATATCCTGGCTGTTGGGGAAACCGGTTTCTCCTCTTCCTTGCTGCTGTGAGCTATCTACATTACCTCCATCCTCATCTTCCTTGTACCCCGACTCTCTTCCCTGTGTGTTTCTCCAGTGAGGGAGTCATAGCACACGGTTGGGGTAGTGGTGGCTGCACCCCCTAGAATGGCATGCAGCTCCACGTAGAAGCGGCAAGTTTGCGGCTCTGCCCCGGACCTTCCGTTTGCTTCTCTGGCTTTGTGGTAGGCTTGCTGTAGCTCCTTAATTTTCACGCAGCACTGCTGTGCGTCCCTGTTATGGCCTCTGTCCTTCATGGCCTTGGAGACCTTTTCTAATATTTTGCCATTTCTTTTACTGCTATGGAGTTCAGCTAGCACTGATTCATCTTCCCATATGGCGAGCAGATCCTGTACCTCCTGTTCGGTCCATGCTATAGCTCTTTTGCGATCCTGGGACTCCATCATGGTTACCTGTGCTGATGAGCTCTGCGTGGTCACCTGTGCTCTCCACGCTGGGCAAACAGGAAATGAAATTCAAACGTTCGCGGGGCTTTTCCTGTCTACCTGGTCAGTGCATCTGAGTTGAGAGTGCTGTCCAGTGCAGTCACAATGAAGCACTGTGGGATAGCTCCCGGAGGCCAATAACGTCGAATTACGTCCACACTACCCCAGTTCCGACCCGCTAAGGCCGATTTTATTGCTAATCCCCTCGTCGGAGGTGGAGTAAAGAAACCGGTTTAAAGGGCCCTTTAAGTCGAAAGAAAGGGCTTCATCGTGTGAACGTGTCCAGGCTTAATTCGATTTAACGCTGCTAAAGTCGACCTAAACTCGTAGTGTAGACCAGGCCTCTGTTCCCAGTGCTTAAAGTGATCCGGGTCACAGACCCAGGAGATAAATGTCTACAGCGCCAGCCAGGCACTGAGGGCACACATTTCAGCTGTGCATGGAGAAAACCCCTCTTGTGGTCTGGCTCCCGCACTTACCCTCTAGAAGTAGAGGCCAATCAGAGCTGCTGTGTAAAGCAGTCCCAGCTCTCCCCAACCTCATCTGAAGGGCCTTTCTTACAGGATGGGGGGAACA